ATCTCTCTATTTCACCGCTCCACGCCCCATGTTCTGTAATTTATAAACATAAATAGAACTGCTTAATGAAGTAAAAGTTAATACAGAGTACTTTTTTACAACAATAAAAAAATTAATGTCTTCGATTTCATTCAAACAGCGTTCAGCGTAGTTTCATCATATCATATTTACAGCCGATTGAGACACAGTCAGACCAGGCGAGGACGTAAGAACTTCCATTGCAATTGAATAGCAGAAAACATTGAACGATTCCAGGTTCGATTTTTAGAAATTTACCTAATGACGGAATTCTCTGGCTTTCGCGTTTGTCTTCTTGCTCCTCTACTCTTCCCTTTTTCAGTTCCGTTCTTTCTGTTTTCTTTGTTTCTTTCCTTCCTTGCTGTTTCCCCTTTTGATTTTTTCTTCAGTGAAACAGGAAGAGGAGCCTAGTTTTTCTTTCTTTCTTTCTTTTTTCTTCTCTGTAAGTCCTCGGCCTCTCTCTCTCTCTCTCTCTCTCTGTTCGAAAAAGCTTCCTTCTCTCTTCGTCTTGCCTGTTCAAATCACCGTCACGATTCAGCTGTAGCCTTTAAACGGCTCGAGGAGCAGAGCAAGTTCCCTCCTTCTCCGCATCGCCTACAACCCTAAACCCTAAGCCAGTATTTCCTTTTCTCCTCCCGGTTAGCCTAATCGGGAAACTTACTAAATTTACATCACCTTAAACGACAGCGTTTTACATAAGGCGGGAGGACTAAAAGATTCAGTATGGTCTATTTCGACCAAAATTATTTAAAATAATAATTATATTAATTATTATTTATTTTATTAACTATATATTTGATTTATGATTATAGTTTATAAATTTATTTTAAATTTTATTAATTTTTAAAAATTAAATACTACAATATAAAATAAAAAATCAGTTCACTTCGATTAACTTCGAATCTAACCAAAAAAATACCAGTCCCCACCGAAATAAGACTAATTTAGCTTCCAATTCACATACAAAAACCATGACAACAGAGAGATTCAAGAGATCAAGCTTCAAAGATTTAAGCAGAATACAAACTGTTCTCTTCCTTTCTCCATAATACAAAATGTTTTTGTCTTCTTTTAATCAGAACCAAGGTATTCCAAGAAGCTCACAACAAGAAGTCGAGAGATTAGTTACAGACAAAAAGTAATCTACACGAGGAAGGGCTAAAAGCACAAAGTTACACGAAGTCAACTCCTACCAGACTCCGCATCTAGCAGTGTCGAACTAGAATTGCCTGCCAAATGTAAGCCCAAAAATCCATTACTGCTTCCATCTTGCTCGCTCTCAACCAAATCCTCGGTTGCCTGTCCATTACGCGAATTCACAGAATTCATTGCTTGTTGTCGTGACTCCTCCAACACCCGGAAGTAAGCATACGGGCCCCAACCTAAAAACATATACATTTATATTTAAACCCAGTCAATGAGCAAACATCACATTGATAGATTTAAGTGAGACAGGCAGGCCTGTCTCAACATGACCTGATCATTGGTCATTCTCCCAAATTCCATTACCAGGCATAGTAGACAAGTATATACCTCTAAAGTTTCATAAAGGATTCTGGTAAAGGATACGTCAATAAAAAACGCTGTAAACAGCACTGGGCTGGGCATAATAATAGTAGTTGGCAAAGATATCCTATACTCTGTACACTTACTGAATGACAACTCTAACCAAGATGGAGAAATCTTCAACAATTCATTAGAAGATTAATGCCAGCCTAACGAAAACCTACCGAATTGACCACATTGTATGGCATGAACATACTCACTAATGAAAATGTCATTACTATAACCTAGAAAAATATGCATGCGCACATTTGTATACAGAGAGAGAGAGAGAGAGAGAGAGAGAGAGAGAGAGAGAGAGAGATCCTATTGAGTTATATTTTGGTGCAAGAACTGCATAAATCTTGGGGATCTACAAATACCATTCATCTACTACTAAGAAAAAGAACCCATCATTCATTAGATTCATTTAGAATTATACCTTCAGTGTGATAGGGTGGTGGAAAGAACTGTAGGTAGCAAAATGTAGCCATTACAAGCCCTGCAAAAGGGGAGGTTTTGAGGAATCAGTAAAGTTGACCTTATAATTATGTAAAAAGTAGTTTTATAAAAGAAAAAAAAAAGGTCAAAGAATAGTTCTAATGTGCACCCAAAAAAAAAATTGAAGATCATAATTGCACAAACCTAGTAGACCCCCAGCAAAGACATCCTGCCAGTGGTGCCAGTAGTCATCCACCCGAGAAATGCCAACAAGAGATGCAACAAGTAGAGGAAGAAAGACAATGCATAACTTTGCAACGTGACCTCTGCGGTCAAATGCTTGTATTTTTCCAGATAAGTAGAGTGACAAAAAACCAAGACCAGCAAAGGACCCTGAGCACAGATACAGTATGATGATGCATTTAGTGGGCTTACATTCTATCTCATCTCATCTAGGAAAATGAACTTATTTTTCAATAATAGATTATAAAATATTTCAGTCCCTAAACCCAAAATGTGAACCAAACATTAGTTGGTCTTACATGAAGTATGACCACTTGGAAAACTCTTATGTCCTTCCTTTATGACACTTTTATCACCATGACATATGACATCTCCCCATTTATCGTAAACCTGAGAAACAATAAGTAGCAAGTTCCATAATTAGAATCGTACAAAATCTTAATTAGTGATTGCA